GGGGGGGGGGGGGTAGTGCAAGTAGAGAACCCCAAAGCTGAGGAAAACATAGTAGAACACAAAGTTGGTTTCCTCAGCGTATTCACATACCCTTTTACTTTAGGACCCGTAGATTCTTCTTCCCCGCTAGTAGATCCGGTGATTCTTGACTTTTGTCACCAGTACCGAGTGACACTCGGTCAGATCTATCCTCATTTTGGAGGATTGTTTACATGCTCCAATATTTCTCTAATCGGGTCGAGGGAATGACCTTCGCCCCAACCATTTGTTCAGATTGTACAGCCCCTATCTCTTCCAAGGGGTTTAATCAAGCTTCACCATCGATCTGCTAAGGCATTCTTTGCGAGCATCGATGAAGATAAAGACCGGGGATGGATGAGCCAGTTTGTCAGAGTAAGCACCTCGGACATCATCCCTGCTGATAGGATGCCATTCCCGAAGGAATGGAACATGAAACGTGAGTATTACTATATCGAGCACATTTTACTGCCCCATCTTCTTCTGAAATGATCTTATTTTGATTATGTAGCCACCATTTGGTTCCCCGGCGTGGTTCAGAACCTTTCAAGATAGATCACACAACTAGACGCTGCTTTTTCATATAGTGAGCATGCTTGGCGTGATTTGGCCAAGATGCGGGTGGCATGCTAAGAACCACGGTAAGCCCTTCTTGCTGTCGTTGCCAAATTTCTTATGAGTATTCTTTGTGGCAATAAGTTTAATACATCATGCATATACAGGCCTAGGGGAAGGCCTGAGGGAAATAAAAGATGCCCAGAACACGGGCGCTGCCGATGTAGGGAGTTCTCAGGGAGCAGATGATGTGTTCAAGGACTACTTCGTCGGTGTCGATGAAGACACAGACCTCGATGCCCCCGTCGCTCTCGAGGAGGCTGAGAGGCTTCAAAAGCAGGTGATATTCTTGACATACCATTTGTGCTTCAGATTTTTTTCCTTGCCTTTTTAACTTCTCTGCTTTGATGTAGGTCAAGAAATTGTATGACCATGCCTTTTCTAAGCTTCAAGATGAGCTTTCATACCGCGAGGAGGAGCTCGAGAAGCTCACCTCGGAGCTAAATAAGTCGAAGGCTTCCTCAGCCCGAAAGGAAGAGGAGTTGAGCGAGCTTCAGGCTAGTATGGAGGGAGTGCACCAGGAACGGACTAGCTTTGCTGAGCAGGTAACACGACATTCATGAGTTCGTCTTTTTATTCTTATAACTTGATGCTCACTATCTTGATTCGTCTTTGCATATTGGGCAAAAGGATGCCCTGGTGGGGTAACTTTAGGAAGAGGTTGCATCCAAGGAAACGGAGATTCTCGAGCTGAAGAGGCATAATGAGGGCGTGACCTTGGAGAGAGACCTTTTGCGGGGAGAGTTGGCCTTGATCCAGGATCTTCTTCGAAGTGCTTAGAAGGAGGCCACTGCATTATCTGTGGCCAAGTGTGAGGCTGAAGAAAATGTGTCCTCATACAAGAGAGATGCCTCCATCACAAACGATCGAGCCAGAGAGATATTCGAGAAGGCTGAGCAGAAGTTGGCTCGGGCCATTGCTTATGCTTGTTTGCAACCTAAGAAGCAGGCCTTCGAGGAAGCAAGCGTCGAAGGTGTCGATCTCTCTACTAAGATAGAGAAGGACAGAACCTTGGAGGAATACTTAGCATTTTCAACTACTTCGGATGAGGGGTTCGAAAGTGATTCAGACAGTAGTGAGGGTGAAGAATAGACTCACGTCGTCCCCTCTGCTTCTCCTTTTCTTTTTGTATATTGATCNATTTTTCAATGCTTATGCAAAGTTAATCTTTGAGTTTTGACGTCGGCTCACTAGAGCACATACTTGTAATAGCTGAGATCCTTGAGATCGGGCGCCATCTCGAGGCCATATTCATAACTCTTTTAGAGTCCATATTTGTAATAACAGAGATCCTCTAGATCGGGCACCATCTCGAGGCTAGATCAATATGGATAGCTCCTTAGAGCCAACTTATATATTGACAGAGATCCTAGAGATCGAGCACCGTCTCGAGGCTAGATTGATATTGATGGCTCCTTAGAGCCCATAGTTATAGTAATAGAGATCCTCGAGATCGGGCACCATCTCGAGGCTAGGTTGATATGGGAATCTCGACCCCTCGAATATTGTATGACAGAGTCATTCGTGTGACATGGCCATGAAGTGACCGATGTGGTCGCGCCGGCACACTTCCCTAAAAGTGATAATGGCCTAGTTAGAATTAATTGACCTTCACAGTAGGCGAACAGTCGTTGCTTGCTCTATATATGAGCTTGCTTTCCTCTCATTTGAGGACTTTGCTATTTTGATCAACTATCCTTTTTGTAGAGCTTTTCTTCCTCGCATAAGTGCTTCCATCATTTTAATTCAAAGCTTTTGTTTAATTTTTTTCTCCTTCTTCTTGTTTCACCATAGTCATGGCTGCTACACCAAAATCCGTTCACCAAGAAGAGGAGGGTTCCGCCTCTACTTGCCGCCCGGTCGGTGGTACACCGTTAGCGTCTGGTGAGCTGACCTCGAGATGCTTTGTCTCGAGGATGGACTTTACGTTAGAGAAACCTCCCAATGTTAATGGACATTGAGAGCATGCATCGAGGTTCATCTCATCAATAGGAAAGCAACACCTCGAGGAAGTTAGGAGAGACTACGGATGGGGATAAAAGGTGGTACTGGAGGTACCTTCCCCGGAAGAGAGCATCATGGCTCACGTAGAGAGGTTTTTGAACATATATACGTACCCCTTTACATTGGTCCATCTCGTTAGAGTCGTGCTCAAATTTTGCAGAAGATATTGGGTTACCCTGGCACAAGTTCACCCATCATTTTGGTGGATAGTGCTGATGATAAGGTTCTTTGCACATAAAGCTGGGTTCGAGTTCACCCTCAACCATCTTATTAGATTGTACTGACCCTTGCATTACCGAGGCCTGATCACTCTACGACG